TTTCTTAAGGCCACTTAAAGGTTAAACATCCTCCAAATTTTGCTTGCTCATAGTCAAAGCAAACATCATGTTGATAGAAATATTAAAATCCCAAGCTATGTCAATTGTGAGATCATTAAGGTGCAAAAATATCAAAAAAAAAAAAAAATCAAATATTCTAGAAACTTTTTTGGATTGTCTGACATAGATCGACATCAAATGCCAAATATTCACTAATGTTTAATAATCTTTTTTTTTTTACCATGTTGTCTCCATTTTTATCTGGAGAACAACTGATCAATTAACCACAAAATTTCACCCAACTTCCAACATTCCCCATCAACTATTTCGTGATCCCTAACTTTCGATCGACATCTATCTATTGTATGATTTAGTAGTGAATTAGTGGATGATTTGCTTCAAATAGGCTAAACTTATAAACTTAGGTGACCTACAAAAGGTTCATGAATGGAAATAAGCCTTATATAATGTCAATAGGAAAACTACATTAATATGGAGATACATCATCATCATCATCATCATCAAGGGAAAAAATTATTTTGTGCGGACACCAAACGTCATCCAGAGACCAATAAAAATGCATCACGTCACCCTTTTACTGTACCACGGCTCGATACTGCTCGATACCGCGGCTCAGCACCGCTCAATACAACGACATCCGGACGTAGAGTTGCCTCCGACGTCTCCATCAAGGAGGACCAATTACTTCTCATCTTATCACATCAATTGATCAAAGTTTTAAATCAGCGTCTGATGAATAGTCAAAGCAAGGGACAAAGAATTTATAAATATCTTCCCTCTCTTCCTTATCCCTTCTTTGCTATTATCTTATATTATCTTTTTTTTTATATATATAAACAAATTATTTAAGTATTTAAGAAGAGCATTTTTAATGTATTTATGGGCGGCCAATCAGTGTTAGTTTTTATAGCTTTGTATAAGTGAAATAAATTTTGAAATTTCCTTTTATATATATATATATATATATATATATATATATAGTATTTAATTTATTTCTCTCTCACTGTTTTTGCATCTTATTCTGATCTTAAATTTTCCTGCTTTCTCTCTCTACCAAACTATAGCTATATTCTCTCTTTGTTATCAATGCTACCTAAAGAGAACCTAAATCCTGAATAATTGGAAGAAAAAAAACTGATTTTTATCTATTTCTCTCTCCAATCATAGGAGCCCTTACAAGATCCTCTCTCTCTTAATTTGTGTGAGGATAATCCTTCTCTTTCATGTAGAAGCAAATGAGAGGCATGTAGGGAGAGAATAAGACAAAAGATGAGAGAAAAATTAAGAAAGATATAAATAAGAGAAATAAAAATAATAAAAATAAGTTAGAAAATTCAAAGATAATAAAGAGAAAAGGAATTTTCAAAAGAGACTATTCCAAAGTGGAGACTAAAAAAGAAAATCAAGAGAGATATCCATTGAAAAGGAATTATCATCCAGAAGGTAGTGCAAAGATGAAAATTATTTTCATAAAATCTCAAAATAGTCCCCAGACTATAGTGTTGTATTGTCAATTTAGACCTAAAGTATCATATTGCTCCAATTTTGTCTCTCTACTATACAAATTTGATCCAGAATAGTCTCTGATCATATTGTAATTGTGATATAAGACTAAAATGTTCATATTCGCATAGTCGGGAGACTATTTCGAAATTTAACCTATTTTCAGAATAAGAACGTTTAATTCTAGATTTCTAGCGGATATCATCTGACAGTAAATATGCCATCAAAATTGAGTTCTAATATACTAAATCTGTAATTAATCATCTTTTTTGGCAGGTTTTTAGTGGTTAATTTAATAGCCAATTTTTTAACTAAGTGATCATCAAAAAAATTTGGCTAATAATCCACCAACAAATTCTAGCAAATTTATTATATGTACAATTATCAAAAATATTGACCAAAAATATGTTAGTTGTTCAATTAATGTACCCGCAAACCATAATTAAAATTAGATTATAAGCATAATAATAAAATCATACATAAATAACAATAGCATAATTATGGAATAGAAATAAAATATATTTAATTATAGAAGTACAATTATTACGAAAGAATGTTAACTTTCAGTCATGCATTCAATCGCCCCTCACTTCATCTTCCTCGCTCTCTTCCTCTTAATCATCTTATGTTGCTACACTATGGTAGGCTCTCTTTCCGGCTTCGCTTGGGGCAACTTTTTACTACTTTATAAAGCAGTTTTTTAGTACAAAAATTTTAAAACTTAAAATCTTTGTACTAGAAAGCTGCTTAATTCATAAAGCAGCAAGAAAGCTCTCCCAAATAAAACATGAATTGTTAGTATAAAGAGAGAACGATGCATGTGGCTTTGTTGCCATAAGCATTATTCTACTTGTCTAGCTCCCTCTTCTTCGAGGCGAATTATTACGTCTGGTCACCGGACCGTCCGGACACTGATCCAGACTCGCCACATCACTCGGATACATTGGGCTCCATATGTATCTGGGTGACGTGGCGCGTCTGGATTGGTGTCCGGACTAATCCGAACACCGGACGTAATAATTTTCCCTTCTTCGAATACTCTAGACTCCTCTACCATAAAAGTAACCTATCATACTCTTAAATTTATTTCTAAAAGGATATTCATATACATTTAGCAATATAACTCTTTATAACTAAAATATGTTGATAGATACCTAAGAAGTGCAATGATAATGGATTGTATGCTTCAATTCTAAAAGGAAAGTAGTCTGTCTCTCTCTCTCTTATATGAACAATTATTACGTCCTCCGACCGGATGCAGAGAAACATCCGGTCGCAGGCAAAATCCCATTGTATCGAGGTGTACCGAGTTTTTTTCGAAAAACTCGGTACACCTCGGTACAGCGGGATTTTGCCTGCGACCGAATGTTTCTCTCATTCGGTCGACCGGACCAAATAAAACTTCCTCTTATATACAAAGAAATAAAGAATGAAACCAAAAAAAAAACTATTCAAATTATTAAAGAATTCAAATAAATGTTAATTTCTATAATTTATATAAAAAGTGATTTTGATAATTTATATAATTTAAATATCATGCTTTAGTTAATTGATAGATATACCACATTTAACAAGGGCGTCTTCATATATACTAAAAAATGAACATATTTATTAAGTTATTTCTACTTCTATCTGTAGATTTGAGCGAGTCATGAAGATCAAATAGATGAACTAAGGATTACGTGCAGTGTCCGGGCGTATTCAGAGGTCAATCCGGACGCGATACGTCACCCAATATACAATGCATTAGATGACATGGAGCGTCCGAATTAACATCTAGACACATTCAGACACCACACAGAATAATGTCTCCTTATTAGGGCACTCACCCTAAACAAAATGGCATACACCCAATAAATAGGAGATGCTTGTCTACTTAGTTAATCATCATATAAGTTTTAATAATTGCTAAAAAATGTATTATCCCAATTAATTTTAACCTTTTAACTTAACCATTCCACTCAACTAAAAGAGCTTTTATTCTGTACGGACATCGGATGGGAGAACCGCCCGGTTAAACACTAAGTATCTAGCAGTATCAATTGTGGGTACTGAGTTGGATACCTACTAATGAGGTAACGTGACACATTTTTATTAGTCTCTAGCAGCACTCTGCACAGAATAATAAATCCAACTAATAGCAAGGAGATTCCAATGGAAGAGTAGAGCCTGTCTTTTTTGAGTGAAGAGAATAAAACTATTATATAATAACAAAAACACAAAAGAAGCTATCCATAATTCCATATGGCAAGTTGCCAGCAAGAAGCCACCTGCCACAGAAAAATGAACCCATAATGGGACCATTGATGGAGACCAATTATTTTCTTATGCCAATATACAGAAGCAAAGTCCACTTCAATACTAACTCAGACCACAGAATTCAAAGGCAAAACAATGGGCTGCAAGAAATCCTTCCTGGATATTTAAGATTTTGTTTTGGACAATTTTTATTATTTTTTAACAAATTTTTAATATAAAAATTTTTAAAAAAAATAAATAATAATCAAAAGTTATTTCAAATAAACTAAGGCTTCATTTGGGATGATTTTTTTATTATTTTTTAAAGTAATTTTTTAGCATAAAAATTTTAATTTTTGTACTAGAAAGCCGTTTTAAGAAGCAATAAAAAAGTCGTCTCAGCTTTAATATTATTATATATATATACTAGAGAGCTATTTTTATAGAAGCTTTAAAAAAATGATTTTTTTTTCTCGTAATAATTGTATAACTATTTTAAAATAGTCATTTCAAACAGACCTTAATTTCTAATCATGAACAAAAATAAAGTAAGAAAATAGGTAATAAAAAGTCTCTCAGTGCATTATCTTCAGCAATGATTGATTTCACTTTTGCTTTAATGAAGTTGAAAGAGCCATGAAGCGTACACTGCTGCATGACTTTCTAGTCCCGTCAGGTACTGCCATTATATTGCTCTTCTTCATCAATGGCTAATGGATAAATAGTTTTCAAAAGAACAGTTCAATATGTGGTATTAAAGTGGTAATGGAGCTTATCGAACCACGAGTTCAAATTTAAGCTATACTCAAGCTAGTACATTAAACGAGCTCAAACTCAGTCTGACTCGGCTCGAAAGCTCGTTGATCAACTCGATTAAATTAATATATACTTAAAAATTAATAAATCTAGCTCAAAAATAAAATCAAGCTTGAGCTTTCCAAACGAGCTTCAACAATCAAGGCAAGCTAGAGCTTACAAATTTTTTTACAAGTTGAGCTCAAACTCGATAAAAACCAAACAAGTTTAGCACGATTAAACAGATACTTGACTTCAACTCAACTCGTTTCTTTTAAGCCCTTATTGTTGCATCATTTAATCTATTGAATGTTTTTTTTTTTTTTACTAAAATTTAATCGATCAACTTTGAGAAATTAGCATCTAATCTGAAAGAAGCCATTTAATCTTCAAACAATTGGTCAATTAATGGACATTTAGCTTAATTAAGATAAGGCCAGTGGTTGAAAAGAGTTCAAAGGAGTTCATATTTATTATTGTAAAATGAATCAAAATGTTGATAACTCCCTTCAATAGAACAAGAAATAACTATGCTCTAAGCCTATTCAACCTCCTTGTAACTTAACCCATCTTACCTGATTATTGACAGGTTAGGTTCATATCCTATCCGTATTGGAGAAATGAAAGGGTACTTGAATCCCTAAATTCTTCTGACTTGCGAGCTTTGCTTCCACTGCATTGAAATTTATTTCCAAACAAGATCTCCTGATTACACGAGCTTCTACCAATGCCTACATCAATATAATATAAGTATACAGTTCACAGTGGTTTAAGGATTGCTATATTTCATTCAGTAATACGCCATTTACTGATCAAACAATTGTACAAATCAAGCAGTGAATTCCTGCTCCAGCAATGCAATGCAGTAAAGAGCTTTAAAAGCAAAGCGACAAAAAAAACTTGAATCATAAGGCCCACAATACACAGCTCATCTTGGCCTGTTGGTTGAGAGCTTAGGCTTTCAACCAAGAGGTCTAGGGTTCGAGTATTTGTGTATGCGTTGTGTGTGTGAGTTTGCCTTAAATGGCCTAAATGTCCCCAAAAAAAAAAGTCCCACAAGAAGGATACATTATTTTGAGCGGACATCAGACACAACTTACCGTCCAGAGACCAATCAGGTGCAGCCATGTTATTAGTACTAAGCAGTACCGAGCCGCGGTACCGAGTAGGGGTGACGTGGCGCATTTTCATTGGATTCTGAACAGCCATGTGGCATCCGCACAGAATAATTCATCCACAAGCCACCAGTAACTCAGATGACAAATGGTTGAGTGTATAAGCAACAAAACAGTCCAATTTTTTTTTTTTTTTTCTATGGCTAACAGGTAAAGCAATTCCACAGCAAAGCAAAGTACGGGCTTCAATACAGTACTAATTGGAAATATTTGGGCATCTCTAATACATTGTGAAGACGCGTTAGTACCAGAAAAAACATCAAGAAACAAATTTTTTTATAAAAAAAAGAAGATACAAAGAGAGAAACAAGAATCACAAATTTTACACGAACAGCGCAATAGCAAGGCAATAAGAGCGCTACCTGAGGTAGAATTGGCAAATACTATACCCTCTGCTTGACACGCCTTCCATTGGCATCACCGCCATCAAGTGCTTGAGAAATATAGTCATGCGTAACGGCACAGTGCTCTCCAGTCCTCGCCACATACTCCAAAAGTTGTGTCAAAACCGATGGGCAGCTAGTTTTCAAATACTCGAAGCCTTCCGTCTGCATGACGGCTGCAACATGAAGCCGTGAAATGGCAGGTTTAGATGCGAACGAAACAAGCATATGATCACAAGAAATGACACTTAATTTTGTGCAGTGCGTGCATTTTGATCTCAGCTTTTTCATAAGTTGAATTTAAGAGTTGCAATGGCTACAGCTTTTTGTAAAGCTAGTTGAAGAGTTGTGAAAAAATTAACTTTTTTTAAATAGTTAAGGGCATTATAGATTTTTTTTATTGGACTTTTTTTATATAGCTACCACATTCTAGTATATCTCATTGCAAAAAGCAAACTCCGACCGCAAAAAAAAAAAATTGAAAAACAACAAGAAAAGCAACAATCAAATAGATGTGTGATAGCGGTCTGAACAACAACAACAACATCAAGCCCTTTATCCCACTATGGAGGGTCGGCTGCATGAATCCTTCTTCTCCATTGTGTCATGTTAAGAGTTAAATTCCCATTTAAATCTAATAAAAAATATAATTTCTAATATTTTATAACCAAGTCTTTTTAGGTATACCTCTACCTTTCTTAACATAAGTCAAATCTAATACATCTACTTTCCTAACCTGGTCATCGGAAGGACCAAACCATCTAAGGCAACTCTCTCTAATCTTATCTTCCACCGGAGCTACTCCAGGCTACTCCAACCTTTTCACGTAAATGCTCATGTTGTATCCTATCTTTAAGAGTAAAGTCACTCATCCACTTGAGCATCCTCATCTCTACAACACTCAAGCTTATCTATTAATGGTCAATATTCTGCACCATAAAGCATTGCACATCTAACCACCATCTTATAGAATTTTCGTTTAAGTTTGAGGGGGGCTTTTCTATCACACCACAAGCCTAATGCATTCCTCCACTTCAACCATCAAACTTGAATTTTACTAATAATATCCTAATTTATTTCACCATCACTTAGAACAATAGACCCAAGATATCGAAAATGTGTACTCTTATTAATGCATTGATCACTCAAAGTTACAACCCCCCACTAGATCTATGATTAATAAAATTACACTTCATATATTCAATTTTTGATCTACTCAAACGAAAGCCTTTAGACCCTAAGGTTGACCTCAATAATTCAAGTTTACCTTCAACCCTCTCTCTAGTCTAATCAACAAAAAGAATATCATCAGCAAATAAAGCATACACCAAGGTATAACCTCTTGCAAATGTCTAGTGAGAACATCCACAACTAAAGCAAAAAAGATATGGTCTTAAGGCTGATCCTCAATGTAATCCAACTAAAATAGAAAAATACTTGGTCAAACCACCTTGTGTTTGAACACAAGTAATAGCTCCTGCATACATATCCTTAATGACTTGAATATAAGCATTATTAACCCCTTTTCTTCCTAGAACTCTCCATAACACTTCTCTTGGAACTTTATCATATGCTTTCTCTAAATCAGTAAATATCATATATAGATCCACCTTATTCTCTCTATACCTCTCCATCAAACCTCTCAATAAATGCATAGCTTCCATAGTATACCTACCCGGCATGAATCCAAAATTGATTTTGAGAAACATTAGTATCACGCCGCAACCTAAGCTCCATAACTCTCTTCCATAGTTTTGAAGTATGACACATTAACTTAATTCCTCTATAATTTGCACAATCTTGCACATCACCTTTATTTTTAAAAATAGAAATCAATACACTCATTCTCCACTCATCTCTCCATACCTCTCCATCACCTTTATTTCGCATCAATTTATTTCCTTCTACATAGCAGTAAAAAAAAATAGCCCCTTGGTTTACTGGAATAGCATTCATAATCTAGGGAACTAATTTGGAAAATGAGCATCTGAATTTATAGTATATAATTCAAGAGATTACTCTATAATGCAAAGCATAGGGTAGAAGCTAATTTTAGTGAATAGCCTTTAAAGAGATCTAAGAAAATATTGATGATGAGCTAAAATAAATTCAAAAGGTAAATCAACCGGGGGTTTTCATCTGCAAACTAAACATTATAGTGAAACAACTTTCAATGATATTTAGGAATTGTAATTACATGTGATAAAAGTTAAATAACAACCAAAAACCCAACTTCATTTCACTGTTTTAATAGTCTTAAATTAAAGCAAATGAGAATTGTATAGGTGTATACTGACTTTTTTTGTTACAGAATGCAACTTCTAGTGCCTAATAAAGAGTCTTTGAGGCTAGCTTTGATTTTTTTTTTTTTTTTTTTTTGCAGTGAGCTGTCTAAGAAATCTCCCATGGTGGAAATCTGGACTGAAAACGCCCGACAAGAAACATGAGACTAGAAGTTTCCGCTCAAGGGGCAGTTATCAAAAACTCGAAGAACTACTAGCCTACTAGGTAGCCTGCAATGAATTGCCAGTTCCCTTTATGGATCATAAAAAGGAATTTGACAAAATTCCCCAACAATATTGATGTCTTCCATGAATTTCATGGTTTCCACCCATGATAAGAGCATGGAAAAAAAGATAATGCCTTTTAACATTTATTTTATTTGTAAGCATTGCAAGGAAAATTTTATCAGGAGTAGGCGAGAATTTATTTTATACAGCAACCAACATAAGTGATTCAGATTCTACATAACCCTAACATTTCCGAAGTTACCTTGTTTAAGCTTATTTTCATACCAATTTTATATTATTTCAGGATTTGAATATTTGGTATCATATAGCTTTATGTTGGGTATTCTTCAAGTCTTTCTTTATGAAGCCTTATCGATATAAGCGTTTTAATAATTACAATGAGTAGTTGATACTATTTTGAGCTGTCCACTTTATTTGATCAATCCCACCTACGCCTCTCCCCTAAAACCAGAAGTTCCATATGTAGAATGTCTTAGGTGGTCTAAGGTTTACTGATGCCAATCTACGATTAGATGTGCAAACAGGAACAAAAAAGATCAAAATTGAGATTTCTCCATTTTTAGTTTGGGTAAAAATTAGCCTCTTCTGATTTAAAAAAAAAATAAAAAAAAACTGTTAATTTATCCCAAATTATGATATAAAAATTGCTAAAGTATGAAATTCCACAAAAAAATCTAAAACAAATAAAAAAATATCATAACAATTAAAATCATACCATAATAATGAAAATCAGTATGTAATAAACATGACAATGTCAATCGAGCACACATTCCAATTACAAACAATTTATGTGAAATAACAACAATAGAAATCACCAATTTGAGGATCCAAAAATCATGTTGAGATAAAGAAGCAAACCTTTAAAGTTGTCGAAGAGGCTTGCAAAACACTCAAATAATTCATATCCAACGACACAAATATTAAGAGGAAAACAAAATTTTATTAAATCATATACTGGATTTTCAGTCATGTCTAGGAACCTCCTATTTATCATAAAGACATAAAAATAATAACCACCGAAAATCCCATAATATCTGGCTCAAACTAAATTAAGTAATCAATCTCAAGCTCAATCCAATGGTGGATTGAGTTCAGCTTGACTCAGTTTACACCCTTAGCTATGAGTGATAAAGTTATTTGTGAAATGCAATTAAAATAATAGAGAACGCATTTCATTCTCAATAGAACCATCATCATAGTCACATTCTATAACAAAAGAAACTAAAAAACAAAAACTAAGACCTAGATACCACAAAAAAAATCATCACACGTTATTTGCATTTCCAATGAATGCAAATTTATCAAATTTGCATTATTCTAATTGGCTTGAAAAATTTTACTCTCAAGATTAAGTATTTAATATTTGTTAAGCAAATAAAGGTATAATAGAGGTAAAAGTTAACAAAATCTAAAATTTCAAGAGAATGTAAAAGTTAACAATATCTAAAATTTCACGAGAAATGTGAGAATGGGTATATAATTCTACAACAATGAAGATTCACGTCACAAAAAATAAAAAATTATATGTACAGAATTCAACAAAATCTCAAACACGCACACAAACTGTTGAATCACATCCAAGGAGGGTGCTTGAGATTTTATCTTCTGCCACCAAGATCCATGGAATAGATTTCAAAATCCGTGAGATATAATTATTAAAATCAATTAGATTAAATATCTTTCTTTTTCTGTTTATTCTCCTCGAGTGTATATATATATATGTAATGATTCCTAGGAATAAAATTTGAATTCAATTTCAACTAAATAATTTCTTCACAAACTAGTCGTAAATAATAAAAAATGATAGAAATTAAAATTTCCAATATCCAAACCTTTTGTATATATATATAGAGAAACATTCCCCACTTTTCAAGAATTGCACAGCCCTCAAAGAATTTGCACCAAACGGCACACAAATATTGAGTAAAATCAAGAATTTTATTGAAACATAAAATCCTCCAAAATTTGCCCTAAAACTATAAGTTTCAATTTAGTAGCAATATATATTAGCAAGAACAAGAAGTTTTCAACCCTTATTTTAGCAGAAAGGTAAAATTTGAACTTCAAAATCATATTTCTTAAAATGCCAAGCAATATTTGATTTTTGGTATAATGCACTAATTAATGACAAAAGGAAACCAAATGGCCTAATCACAGCTACAGTGCAAAAAACCATTGATAGCATAAACAGACACTAGTCGTATTACCTCTCAGATTATCAGGCAATGCAACAAATTTGAGACAAACAGATTTAAGCTGCTGACAGTGATGCTGCTCAGCCAAGGCTAAGGTAGTTGCAACTGTGTTTACAGCAACATCCTCACAAAGCTTAACCTCACAGAGCAACCGAAGCCTTTCCAAAGCATATCGATCAGCAGCCGCAAGAAGATGCTGTGCCATCAATGTAGAAGCACACTTTGCACTAAGACCAGTAAGCTCCTCAATGTCAGGCAGGGCATCCCAATAAATGAAATGGAGTAAAGCCTGCAAAATAATATAGTAAGTTACAACAAAATTTCTGAACAAATTCTATAACTGCAGAAAATAAAATGATATCAAATATCAATTATAGGCATGATTGCCAACAAAGTTGGTTAGGGGATGAACGGGATAAGGCAAGTTAGGGTGAGTCAAAACGTAATCTTACCAATGGGTGTGCCAAAACAGTGACTAGAAACATTGTGGAACAAACCAATGCGTCACTAATTTATACCAGGCATCCATATTATCTTCAAATTTTCATTATTTTTGCTATTGTAAAGTATCTTGAGTGCATGAAGCTCCTTACCATACTTGTATATCTGTATATGTGTTTGTGGGTTTGTGTAGTAGGCATGCACATTTCTGTATAATAATTAACAGTCCCGTCACACATCAAATAAAACAATGTGTGAATACATTGTGAGGCACAAAACTGATAACTTGACAGAGAGTGCAATAAAGGAAGAACATGACAGGGAATCTATACAAATTAGATTTATAAATGACTGAATTAGACTCACATGGTCTCTATCAAACTTATGTCCAACAAGTGGACATATTATGTCCAACTGTTTCAAAAAATATGCTAAAATTTTGTTTAGAAAAATAAAAAAGTGAGATCTGCCAAATGGCATGACCAACCACCCCCACCCCACCCCCCCCCCCAATACCCTAATGTGTCAGCCTCCAATGCAATCTAGCAAGAGTTTAGACTTCTTAGAACATCCACCCTCAAGAGCATTTCCCTATAAAAGATCTTCTGACGATTGTGGCTATTATTGTTACATAGCCAAATAGCCAATCAAACACAACATTGACATTACAAAAAATGTTAGAGAAGAATCACCAAAATGGTCTTTGAAAAAATCATATTTCAAAATGCCATTGAAGAAGAATTCACTACTCTAAACACCACATTTAACAGAATTCAGACTTTTCAAGCAGAACATAGTGTTAATCTAAGAATTTGACGTTTATTATATCCCATAAAGATTGATCGAGTTTTAAGTTGCATCATTACAAAAACCGAATTGTTTGCAACAAAAAATCTTCTTCAAAAAAAGCTTTGGACCTCAGAAAATAAATGCCTTGAACTTTCTATACCATAAAATTAAAACAGAACTGCATGCTTTAATTCTAAAAACAACATGAAAATACAACCTAGTTCACGTGTTCACTGCTTCAGAAAGTAGATATCAATTAGCTAGTTTCTGCTTGTCTGTAGAATATACTGCATGTCTACAAGCATCTTGTTGTTTGAATAACTAGAATTGATTCCAATGCCAAGCTTGCCAAAATTTTGACTCGTACAATCAACGGATCATTACAAATCAAAATAATAATCAGCTTGAATCAAAGCAAAAGACAAAAAACACACTCCACTTCTACATAATCGCTTAATTAATTTTTTCCCCAATATATTTACGCATGTTCCTCGTTATTCTCCTGTATTATGTTACATCTAAATATTCTTTTACAGTTTTTCTCTCAATCACTCATGAGATTATATCAACTCACTAATCCTCCATTTTGCTTTTCCTCCGCTTTGATAATAACCACTGGCTATTCCACCACTTATTTTAAAGTAACTTGGAGCAATAGACTATCCAATTGGACATTTAGGTATTATTTTTACAAGTCTGAAAACTATATTGAAGATATCATGCTTCCAAACATTGAATTTACTTGCATGCTAATCAAGATAAATGAATCTACCAATGAATTTGAGCATTTAAATTGTTGAAGGTACAAAATTATGCTTCATTTATGAACTTAATTGTAACCATCATCCTTCAAACTCTCTTGATGAGCAAAGTTCTAAGCAAAAAAAAGCATTACAATTATTCACTGAATCATGAACAAACTAACATAAATGATGTTCATAGTTGTGTAAACAATTTTAGCCTTATAAATTAAGTTCATAAATCTAAGAAATACCTTGAAAACCGGTGCTTCCATTTCGTCCACCTTTATACATTCCTTGTCCCGGTCCTTCATTGGACCATAAAATTGGGCCATGAACACAGGCGAGCGAGCTGCAAGAACCAATTTGTGTGCATTAAAAACCTCTCCATTAACATCAAATCTAACGTCGGTGCCTTCAACTCTCTCCAAAAGCTGACCAAAATGCTCATTTATATTGGACGGTGGAACAGGAATGTCATAAACCTTTGGCCCCTCTGTATGTGATTTGACTACACCAACACTACATCTAACTGAGAGGCAATCATCTTTGAGATAATCTGATTCCTCTAAAGCAGTTCTTTTGAAAAATCGCTTGTATCCCCTACATGGTTCTCAGGAAAAAGTTGAGATTTGTGAATAACTATAAGCTCAAGCTTGGTGGAAGGCATTCATAGTGCAAAGAACTAAAGAAGCATTGAATATATGCAAACATATAAAATAAATAAATAAAACCAATTCAGAAATAATTTCAAAAACAAAAAGTAATCTATTTAAATGGTTAATGTCGTTATTCACAGCAATATTTCATGAATGCAAGAGAAACAGTGGAGTATGCATGTGAGAACCGGATTTGGCCGGTTCAACCAAACCGGCCAGTTATTAAAAAAGGCGTTTCGTGAAACAGAGGAGAGCGGAACCGAGCGGAGCAGGCGCGAACGGGAACGGACAAAACGCTTGTGTGGGCAAATTTGGACGGTTCAATTCGTGGTTTTTAGCGAACGATTGCATTTGGGGATAAGATTTACCAACTCATTTTCATTCCTATCGCTAAAGTAGCATAGATTTGAAAGAAATACGGTAAACGAGAGGAACGACCAAAAGAAAGAGGGAAGAATGTTTCTTGAAATTTTTATTTCCATTTATGTATAAATTCCCTTGTTTACTTCATTTTAAAGCAATCGATGTTTTAATAAAGAAAAAGGAAGAGATTGAAAGCGAGGAGAAAGGATTTTGAGCGAGAAAGAAGGATTTTTGGATTTTGAGAAAATCCCCATTTGTAAGTGAAATTTCTACTGTATAACTTTTATTAAATTTGGTTATTAAATCACATTTTGAAGAAAGTTTATATTGTATGAATTAAGGGATTTTAGAAAGGGAGAGATCAAGTTGTAAGAGTTCGCTTCATCAAAAATTCAACAAGAAAAAGAAAAATTGAGATTTGAGGTAATTATTAATTAAAGGAATATTTATGAAAAATTAATGGAAGTTAAATGATAAATTTTCATGGTTATGAATTTCTTTAGGTTGTACCAAAAACGGAGGACTTAAAATAATAAAAGTGGGTATTTATAGAATTTCTCTTTATTGTACTTTTCTATTTCATTTTGAAAGAAGCGTGTTATATAAGTGTTTTAAAATTTATGATTTATTTTTTAAAACTATTGCATATGAAATAAACAAATGTATATACAAATACAAATATGTGAAAGAAAAAGTATGTAAAGAGAATACATATAAAGGAAATGGAAAGTAGAGTTAGAAAGCATTTATATATATGATACTTATATGTATATCAAAAGTATATATGAATGAATAAAAAATAAATGAAAAAAAAAAGAAAAAGGAAAAATGATATGCATGCAAATTTATAGGAGTTCACCCCCGTAATATACTGGCTGGGAGAGCAACATACCTGTGCACGTTAAAAAAGAAAAGGAAATGAAAATGAAAATGGTTGTACCTTACTTGGTACATTTAAACGGTGCTCTTGTACAAATAAAAATGGTTATGGAAATAAAATAAATGTCAAATCTGTTAAAAGAAATGTTACGTGGAAATGAACAATTATGATTGAATATAAAATGACTTATATAAATTATACGTCTTAATACATGAAACATGTATGTATATGAATTTTGTATTAAGAAAGAAAGATGTGTATATATTTATTTAATTATATACATGTGTTACTGTTTTATGATTGATAATAATTACCCACTGAGTTTATATTGTAAACTCAACTCACTAAATTAATGTTTTAGGTAGGTCTCCAAAGAAATAAAAATGATAGAATGAGAAGAGTACGTCTATAAAAGACGGCGCACCAATGAAAACAGGTAAATTATGACTGATGTAAATGATTAGTTTTGACATAAATTGAACATAATATTTTTGAAAGTGGCTCTTCAGTTACCTTGAGAAGTTGTATGTTAATTTGTGTATGATATGAATTAAATTGTTACTACCGTCCGACTTTATGTTCCCGCCTCGTTAGTTCGAACATTCGGATAGGGTCGTGGCAATGCAAATGTATATAAAGGACCTCTTCACTGGCATGTAATAAGTGAATGTATAAATTCTAGAACCCACTTAAATAAGCAAAATCAGGTCATCATCATCATCATTATCCATAACTCAACTACAAGGGTCAGCATAATTACTCCTTCATTTGTTTCTTTGAGTGCTACATGAGATGATAATTGTACCTTGCACGAGTCTACCTGCACAACTTCTAGTCGTATTCACTTTGATTAACCCACTTCTCTTCCTAGTAGGACTACAGTAAATATATCTACCCACCTTATTGATAGATCTTATGCCCTTTATTGTATATTCCAAAAATCACTTGTCTACTTTTCAATACTTTATCTTTAATGGTTATTACTTCTCTCAATCTTTTTAACATAATGATTTCACTATATCTTATTATTTTTACCATATATCAATCTTGATAGCCTTATTTCTACCACACTAATCTTCAGAGTTAGTATTTTTTTTTTTTTCTAACAACTCAAAATCATAGCACAAAAGTTGGTTTTATTGTACCTTCATGAATCAATATTAAAGTTTCCAAACTCTTCGCATTGAATAATACTACTAATACAACTAGCCAAAATTAACCAACCAACTTTCAATCTAGAAGGGAAATTTGAGTTTATATGCCCCCATAATACTCGAAATAAGAGAAATATTCCCATTGTTTCGTTTCTTAGGGAAATATGCATAAAAATGCTCTTCAAACCAAAATACCCCCATGTTTGCTTTCAAGAGAGGAGGAAGGAAAAGGAGGACGTACAGAAGTTGGGGGAAAGAAAGTAAAAAAGTTCCTACCACTGAGAAGGATGAGGAAGTTGAGGTCATTAGGGGTTTAACACCATCTCATGCCATGGTGCTTATACATATAGAGGTAGAGAACATAAAGGATATAACCTCATCTATAGAGATTGTACGTAAGAATGATGCACAATTAGTAAATAATAAGCATAAGCCACATAGAAGCAAGAGATATTTGACTAGGGATTTCACAGATCCATTGTAGAAGAGGCATAAAGCACACATATCCATGTGTCGACCCATTGATCAGGAGCAATGGTCTACCTTCAAGGCTTGTATATCCGTCTCAACAATCAAGAGCAACTGACAAATCTGAGAAGTTAGGAGTGAACACTAAAAATGCAGTGTAATTTAGAATACTCTGACAAAATAACTAGAAAATAAGGTGAGAAATATTTTACTTTGTTGAAAGTGTGAAAAATTATTTCATTACACTTACTTTTTTTTTTTTTTTTTTTGTGCAGCATGTTGATTCTTTGTGTTTCCTAATAAGGGATCACATATATAGCTACCCAAAAATACCGTCCACTATGCCATTGAGGGTGAGAATAAATTCTTGAAGTCATGGCATAATGTAGAGTTCAAATATTTTCTGATGAACTGGAATAAGTTTCGTTAGATAGTATGTGAGATCTTGATGTCTGTAAAGGCCATAAATTTGAATAATTATGACCCTCTTGCACCACGATGCAAAACGTGTAGGTGATGATGAATCCTTCTCTATTATGTCAAGCAGTAAGGGTTGTTTGACAACATATGGGTACTACTCTCCTCCAAATCTCCTTGGATGTGGAATAGGGCCACCACATATGAGATTCACAACATTGTCATAAGGTAAGTTATTTGATATTTAATAAAAATTAATCACAATTGAAATAATTCTTGTATATATTAACTTATCAGTAATTTGCATTTCAATTGTAATGGCAACTGTGGAGTGCATGCAATACAAACATCATCAACCTGATTTCAAAGAAGAATCTTCTAAATGGGGGCATATATGATGACATTTTTCATCATTGTTATTTGCTACTAGTACTGAATTTTCTCCCATCCTCGTAGATGACTCCATTCATTTGCATAACAAATCAAAGTAGCTTAAACCAATCACATGTACAAATCACTTCATCTGTTAGCACTAGTAACAAATAGATACTACTTTCTACCATAGTAGCACGTAAAGAAAACAATATAATGCTAATAAAAGTGCGATCTTGGTAAAGTTTTCTATAATTAACATGCATCTTTGAGTTAGGTAGCTTAATATCAAGAGGAAGGAAGAGTGCCTAAGAGAATTTGAGTAACAGAAAAAATATTTTCCTGAATATCCTATCGAATCCCCAAAAATATATTAGTTCTGTGTTATTAAAAAAACAAAGGTAGGATGCAGCCACCACCCGTAAAGTAAGCTTTCTTTTAGCTATCCAAGGCTCCAAAAAGGAAAGGAACAAAGTACCCAATCAAAAGCAATCACTATGGGGAATTTGCAAAATAAGCGAGCAGATGAAGTTATGACCTATTTTGGAAAAATTGAGATATTTTGAATAGAATAAGGGCACAAACAAAAAGAAAACTTAAGAAATTATTAATGTGCAACGTAAGAAAATATAGGTAATTTTATTTTTATTTCTCTAGGTTTGTTCTGAGGTTTAACAAATTGGTATAAATCCGAATTCAAATAAATTCCAAATAAGAATCAAAAGCAAAGTGGAAGCAATTCCCTCCCCCTTCCCCCAACCAAAAGCAATCACTATGGGGAATCCACCACTATGGGGAATCCACCATTTAAGCCAGCAAATGAGGCTATAACCTATTTTGAAAAAATTGAGATATTTTGAATAGAGTAATGGCACAAACAAAGCAAAAAACTTGAGAATGTGCAATATAAGAAAATATGGACAGTTTTATTTCTATTTCTCTTGGTTTGTTCTGAGGTTTGACAGTATAAATCTGAAACTAAATAATCTCCAAATAAGTGTCAAAAAAAGTGAAAGCAATTCCCCAAATACCATACTTATTACAAGGAGAAACTAATTATCTTTCTCTCCTTCATGTTGAATATAATGTTTTAGAAAAAAGGTTTTGAAAAAAAGTTTTGTAGCAGTTAGTTTATCCTTTGCATTCCCTACCATCAAGCACCCCCTGTCATTAGAGGGATTTTGACACAAACTGAACAGATTTTCGAGTGAAAGCACTTCAATCATCCTCTTTCAATGGTGAACACCACATATCGTTAAAAGTAAAGAGTTGGCAACACATTGCATTTACTAGAAATTTAATAATCCAATGTAAGATTATTTAAGCTTATTATATATTTATTTCCTTCATTCTTTAGTGAGAACTTTACAAATGGCTAATTGGTAAAGCATTGGTGGTCCTTCAACATATTCTTAAATTTGAACTAAATATTAGCTATACAATGGCTCCATGATTTGAGACATCAAGTAAATAAAAGGGAATCAAATATTGAAAAGACTATTGACATAAAATCAAAAAGATTTTGCAGAATAGGTTTTCTACTTTTCTTTTATTTGGCTTCAAAAGATATGCAGGAAAGTATGTATTAGAAAACATGTAACCTTCAATGAGAACACCTATATTTTAATACCCTTACTAAAAGTAGAGAATAAGTATGCTCAAAACAAGTTTATAACAGAACAAGTGAATGTGCATTGTTCAAGAGAGAGAAAGGGCCCAAGATAAAAACACAAGATGCCAACAAATAGACACTTGTAAACAGATCCCGCAGTGAGGAAATTTTTATTCTCATAATGGAAAATCTAGCTGCGGAACACAAAAGGAGATGAAAGAACCAAAGACATGATCAATAAGACTTTCATTAAGTGATGCAACATATTTTTAAATAATGGTACATCTTACAAATCCATCTTAATAAATCTTTCCATCAAAAACTCTTACAACCCAAGCCTTAGGTTTTAAAAAGAGGAAGCCATGAGCAACAAACAAATGCATAAAAAACACAAGTATGCAGAATGCAGCATCATTATCAAGATAATGTGCATGCATTAAAATAAACAGTTTTTTACATGTACAAATTTAATAAGTAAACTTCAACATTATGGTTTTCTCGTTCACTATAAGTTAACTCTACATTCATTTCAAAAGCATAATTCAAATTGACAATCATCAATCATTCTGCGCTGAAATAAAGGCATCAAGGGAATTAACTGGAAGGGAAAAGCAAACATAAGACTAAGATAAATAAATGATATGTTACAATCAAGTCGCAAAAATATTTATTATAAAAGAGAAAACTAACCCCAAAGATTCCTTCAACATTTCTTTAAAAAAGGAAGAAAAACTTGCCTACAACCTATAAATTAAAGAAAAGAACGCAGCAAAATAAAAAACCAAAAAGAATGAATTAACAAATACAAGGAAATATAATCTCAATGAAATGAAAAAGAAAAAAAAAAGATAAATGATTTAACTATTAGAACTTTGCATTTAATAATGATTTATCATATGACAATGAATATGATGAGTAATGGAAATTATTTGCTAATAACATAAATATAGACACCTAAGGGTATAATGCAGCCTCATAGCCACCTCCCAGCAGAACAAATACAAGAAAATCCTAAAATCTATAAAAGACTCCACTTCTTTTAAAACAATGATGCAGCCCCCAGCCACCATCTAGGATAACAAACATATAAGATGCCCCAGAATAAATGAACTGTGCTTTTTTATTTCATGCATACAAGTGCAGAGGCATGCCACACAAATTGCCTGAATACAACATGGAAACAGCATTTGCAAAGTACTAAGATACATAAATCATAGTCAATCATGATTAGCTTGGGAAACATCAAACATGTACATTAGTACCTCCTAGCATGGATCTTCTCAATAAATCAAAGAAATAATAATAAACAAGTGTCGGTAATTTGTATTTTTTTTTGTTCAACAACATGTTTGAAATCTTAACTTAGTATTATCACCAATCACTTAGGTAGCTCATTGCTCATCCAATAACCTAGTTCTTTAATGAGAGATCCCTTACTCCATTTCCATTCCTTTTTTTTTTTTACTTTTTCAACATCCATCCATCATTTCAGCTGCCTTTCTCCGCTGCCATAAGATTATTATGAATGTTACACAAGGAAAAGAAAATTCATATGAACAAATAAACAGCCCCTTCTTTCCTGGCTACCTTGCACTCAAATCTCACCCATCGTTTTTTTTTTTTTCCCATTTTCCTTCTTTTTTTTGTATTTAACCAATAAGTACAACAACAAAAAAAATACTAGAAGGTCCTCACCGCATGCTTAAGCAACCAGGAAATATCATATCAAACTATAAATATTTTAAAAGGCGGTATTAAATTTTATGTAAACAATACAGCAAACAAAACAAAATAATATCATATTTTTCCATCACAAAAATTATATTTAGGTATAAAGCAATATTGTAAATACAATATACCATGACAACAAAAGTAGCCACAGTGAAGACATCAGTTAACAATGGCATCAAATAACCACAGACCACCTAATTTTTCAAGCCAACATAACAACATAAAAGAAAGTCATCTACAAATCCTATCAACAAAGCATGCCCATAATTCCACCAAAATCCATGAATGAGGTAACAGTACATATGCATTCACCAATTGCACAAGATAAGCAAAATCATCAGAACTGGGATCAAGCTGACATTAAAGTGAACTAACAACCGCAACACAACCAACATCAATGCCCCAACATTCCGATTTTACAAATCAGGAAGGATTCTTATGCATAAAGGAAAAAGGATCATTACATATATCATCTTTCAAGACTAAAACCCAAGACTCTATCAGAATCTTTGCCAAAGACACCAAGTAGCAAAAACAGAGGAACCTTAAAAATGTAAAGCAGCAAATAAAAGAATTAAAAGGTGCTCCAGAACTAGAAACTCACCACATGCTCCCACGATACTTGAGGGTATAGGGTCCGGCTTCCAGATTACGGCCGAAGTGGCTATGAACCTTGTGCTGCTCCTTCCCACTCTGGTCTAGCAGCGCCAGCTCGAACAACGCCCTCACGTCGGTCCCCTCGCTGGCCAACGCAATGAATAGAGATACGTAAGACGCACCATCCTCTGGGCTCTTACCATCCGGGTAGAAGTAGATCGCCCACGTGTAGCCCCCAACCATGAACACATCTGAAGCGATGTACCTACCGATCCCCAGCCCCTTGGACAGCGAGTAGCCCGTGATCTTGAAATCGTGCGAGCCATTCACCGTTTGCGTCACGGAAGTCGATGCAGTCTCCGACGGCGGTTGGGCTGAAGAAGGAGAGATGGAGGAAGATGGCCCGTCAGCTGAGCCACCTCTGTAAACCCTACCAGCGCCCATTCGCCGCAGTAGAAATCAAATGTGCCAGCGATCGGAGCTGCTTCAGATGCAGATACCAGGATCTACAGTCAGATTTCAGGCAGAGGATCGTTGGATTCCTAACGGGTCTGCCGAGAGATCTTGCGACTCGATTTGGAGTTCGAATCTAGTGCGCGTCGCAAGATCTGGATTAGGCCCCTACTCCCTCGGCTTTTGAGACCCGTTGGAAGTGGAATTGTGCAATTTGCGAATTGGAGGTGTTGATTGAATTCCAGCTAGGGTTTGGTTTTCGAAACTAGAGCAAAGAGATAAAGAGGATCTATATTGCCGACAGGTGAGGCTGATTCAATTTTATATTGCCAAATCACCATTCACATGCCTGAGAAATGTCCGTTCGCAAGCAAATTTGGAAACGAACTCTTTTTCTATCTTTGCTTATTTTTACTTGTTAGAGCGATTTATCTATAAAGCGCTTAAATTGTTTTAAATTTCTAATTAAAATTTGCTCTAACTAAAGCAACAATGCCACATTTGGCTTAGATCTAATAAAATTCCAATGCAAATCACCAACTATATATGCACCTTTAGTTAGTTAAGTAAGAATCTAATATGATAAAGTAACATAAAATTATTAAGACGATATTGTTAAGCAAATTTAACTAGCAAACCAATCATAAAAAAAAGTTCCCACAAACTTAAGCAGAGGCAAACTCCTTAAAAACTCAAAAATAATGACCAATGCCATAAAGAGCAAAAAGCTCAAATATAATTAAGATTTTGTTTGTGACGGCTTTATTACCGCTTCTTAAAGCAGCTTTTTAGTACAAAAAATTAAAATTTTTGTACTAAAAAACTACTTTATGAAGCGATAATAAAGCCGCCCCAAACAAAACCTAAGTAATGATGGTCATAACATAACCCTAAAACTAGTACATCTAAGTACATCAAAGCAGGAGATATTCTAAAAAAATTCATAATTCAACAATCATATATATCAACTTTGTCAAAGTAACCCTATAAGAAAAAATAGCATATAGCAATAATTTGATATAACATAAGCCAAAATGTGTCATGGATAAACCAAACAATATAGAATATCAAAGATACATTTGAAAAACTTAGATAACATAACAATGAATGAGGGTACCCCAGTCTAAATGATGGCACCTAATTAACAATAAAATAATCAGTCCATGGACACATACTATCAAAGCTAAAGATAAATATTGTTATACAGATAATCCAAAATCAAAACATCTAGAAGGGTAGTAAGAGATAACAAACATAAACACCCGCACGTCCAATATCAATGAAAAAAATGAGGTTTACTTATACATGTTACAAACATAAGCAACTAAATACCATATGTAAGAAAATAAATCTAAATATGATGTCATTAAAGAATGTTTTTTTTTTTTTTTCATCTGATTTGATGTATCAGTATGTCATTAAAGAATGATTAAGGCTTCGTTTGGAACAACTTTCTTACTGCTTCTTAAAACAATCTTTTATTACAAAAATTTTAATATTTGTACTCGATAATTACTCTAAAAAGCAAAAAGAAAGCTGCTCCAAAGAATGATTAAGAAACACGTGAGTTTTTGAAATAAGAGAAACCCCATATTTTTCCAATCTAATAAAATTAGTGAGTTTGACATAAACATAAATGATTATATAAGCTTTCAATGGTTAACCCTTATTAGCAAGCCAAATAGTTTCACAACTAACTTCTTTACATTAATCATTTCTTCACTAAAAAAATGTTTATTTTGTAGATCTAAAAGCAAGATACAAAATAACATTTTGAGATTGAGCAATATTATACAAATAATCATCATCTTTAATATTTATGTTACGTTGTTCAAAGTCTTAAAAGAGTATATATACAAAAGAGGATGTATCGCTTCTCATATAGAGATAGTGGTTTAAGTCATTAAGTGGGTTATCTTAATATTCAAATAATAGGTTGGAGGGAAAAAAAAACAATGGGAGGATTTATAGATTAGCCTTATAGGAAATAACTTATGATATAAATCCTCTTATACCCCTTAGCTTTGTTAGATAGGAGATAGGATTTAAGAAATTTTGTGATGCCATATAGTTGCTACGATTGAAATGATACAAGCTCATGTTAATGCAAAGAAATCAGTATATATCAATGTGACAATCCAATAATGGATGAGTCGGTAACACATTATAATAGAAAAAGATGACAAATAGGAGGATAGAGAATGAGAGATGTGGAGGGATATAAAAGGATTAATAAACAAAGAGAAAAGTGAATGAGATAAGAGAGAGGAAGAGTGAACATGTAAATAATAGGATGAGGGTGGACTAGAGTAAAGACAAATAAATCATATTTTATAATCATTATGATAGAACATTATATTTTAATTATTTTATATATTTTAGTATAGTATTCATAAATGTATGGATGTTATTTTTAAATAATATTTAGATTGTGTAAATGAATTACTAACAAGGGACCAATAAAGCATAATATGTTATATTTGATGTCTACTATATAGATGATTAACTTAATAAGGAACATGATACCAAAAAATGACATCCAATGTGACAACTTAAGAATTTAGCTGAAAATTCATCAAGATTTACCAGTAGATTAACCACATATACTTTTTGATAGATAGCTTGATATAAACTATTAGTGTTCCATCGTCTAATAAAATTTGATAATTTTTTTATGTTATGATCATATATACTGATCAATAGGCTTTTTTGTCAAAAATTTATCAAAATAGTTTTCCTAATGAATTTAAGGCTGCTATAAAGTATTATATATATATATATATATATATATATATATATATCCACAATAATAAGTGGTAGATGCTTTTACTAGACTCATAATATTATAATGAGATGTATAACTTAAAATGATTTGCAACAAATGTAGGACTTATGACTTTGCATCAATAAAAAAAAGCTATACATGTTGTTGTGTCTTATGATATGTTTGTGTCTTATATAATACAATTAGGGAAATATAAAACTTGATTGCTTTTTGTCAATGGAAGAGGCCTATAATAAGGGTTGGATCCTTTCCATGAAAGGCCTCAGAGCATGAAAACAAGTATTATATGTCATGGAGAATAATGTTACTATACTCACAAATCACAATACGAAAAAGTCTATGCATTCTTGATTTGTATGGGCTACAAATAATGATGAAGGTTCATCACATCAGTAGCCAATGCCATCACATCAGATAATCTAACAAGGCTATTTGGAGTGGAGTCATTGAGTGTAAATATTTGCAAGATAGAGATCAGTGAGATAAGGTTTTGAGTGACATAAAAGGTGATGATGGTTTAGAAGGATATTTTGACACAATTTATTGTACTAAACTACAACTCAAATGTATTGTTTCATTAGGATACGACATGTTATGCATGTAATGCACATTCAAATATGTTCTAACCCGATCTAGTAAGCCTTGTGTGTTAAATTTTTCTACATTTTCATTCTTTACATACCTTGTGATATTTTGTATATATATGAATGCATGAAATATGTTCTTAAGTGTATTCCAAGGGGTCTATGTGCATGAAATATGAAATATGATATATGTTTTTTTTTTTCTTAGGAGCGCTACGATGTTGAGTCTGGGCTCTGGGGTGCATTGATTTTGGGTTGGATGGGAATTTAAAAATAGTTAATACGATGTTGGGTCTCTAAGGGTTATGGTGATGTCATAAAATATTTTATAAATATCAAATTCCACACAAAACTTCTAAAATGTCATGTCATTTATTCTTTTAGGTAGTCAACTAGAGAGAGATGAGGTTTTCTAAAAAAACAAAGTGCATTTTGGGTAGCTCTGAGTCAATTTTGTCCATCAAGACAGTTTGGGAAATTGTCCTGGTCAATGTAGGTTATGTTTTGCATATCTAAGTTTTTAATAATTCAAAGTTTTCTATTTTTTTATATTTAATTAAATTTTGATGAAAAATTGAGTTTATCTATTCACTGGGTAAAATTTAATAAAGTAATTTTTAATAATTTGTGGTTGGCAATATTTTACACATTATGAGATTTTATTTACATATTTTTACTATGCAACTTTGAAAATACCTCATTTTATTGATTTAAAAAAATATATTATAACTCCTATAAATAATAGTGTAGTACAAAAAATAAGATCTAAAATATAACTATAACCAATTAACAATGTGTGATATTATAGTAATTTTTTTTAAAAATGAAACTATGTGATTATTCAGGCATTATGTAATATATTTGAAAATGTCTTTATTTTTTATTATTTTTTTCTTCAAAAGTGTGAAACTAAGTGAATTTTGATAATATGAGGAAGTTCTGACATGTGATATGCTGGAATCATAAGGGCCTAAAATCTATGAATATTTGTAGTGTTATACATTTGAGAGTCATGAGTGTCTGTTGTATGATATGCTAGCATATGGTGTCATAAGAGCCTAAATTTTGAATTAGGATATTTGTTGTGAGGTATAAAGGCATGAGAGATTATGTCTACTTTTTATATATGAATATAAAGTGCTTAATATTTTATTTTAATATTGTTCTACTATTTTACTTGATAATTTAGAAATATTATTTACTACTCTATGAACATTTAGTTATTCAAGCAACCCGATTGAATCTTTGTACTAAATAAATTGCTCCACTTTAATATTTATGATTTATTATTGGTGGCAATTATTATTAAAGACTTTGATAGTTTGAATGTGGTTTGCTGAGTTGTGGGTGCTCATGATTGCTTTATATATATATAATAAGTGAAGGGGGTAAGCTGAGTAGATAAGGATGGTAGGATATAAATATGTAAAAGTATATGTGGTTGGATTTTAACAATCATTGTTTCTTTTTTTAATGTGTTGTTTAAGGTATGTTCTATTTGTGCATAACAATTTTGATTGTAAATCTTTCTGAGATGAATGAAAAGCTTTTGATAATTAGTATTCATGTATTTTAACTGAAGGTTTAGTGGCTTTATTTTCACTAATTATTTAAAAGTTTTATAATTATCTCAAATTTGATTTTTGGATTTTGTCTTGTCACCATCCGGCACAGTATTACATATTTTGTTTATGGGTTATATTAGTTAGGTTGTGATGATGCATCTATCGATTGCATCCACATGAGGGTGGTCTAAGCCACGTTAGAACAAATATGAATCATATATGCATTGAGAGTAACTTTGAGCAAAGGATCATGTCACCTAGCCATATGATAACTCGTAATCAAGAGGAGCCAAAGTGATAATCTCCATTAAGAACCCTACTAAATAAGTGATGAAAGATGTAAGTCAGAAAATGATGATGTTGATGGATGAATGCATTGTATGTGTGGGGCAGTAATGATTCCTTGATGTGCAATGAATTTCTTAGTATGTAAGTCTAATAACTTTTTTAGGGGATAAAGGGGCTTAAAAATATTACGAAGGTGCAAAAATATCATATTTCAAGCTTTTCGGTTAGGCTCTAATGAGCTTGGAAGGTAGTGAAAAGGGGAGAGTGAAAAAAGGTAAATGATGCCTAATTTTAATCGATCACTTATAAGAGGCCTATGAAGTCTTTGTTTTGTTGTAAAAAGGGGAATACCTAAAATTATGCTAGGAATATTGGGGAAGTTGGTGAAGGTGTTGATAGTCTTACTTGAAAGAGAACAAAATTAAGTGCATGCTTGTCTCTTGAGCATGGTAGGAAGGCTTGGCAAAGGAGCACATCAAAAGCCTATTGAATATGGTCCTACAATGTTCAATGTGCTCATAAGAATTTGAAGGAGCATCAAAGAAATAATACAATGCATCTTGAACCCCACTTGTGAGATGCTCTAGGATTTAATAGAAGGATTAAACACCTAAAGCTATTGTAAAGTCCAAATAAAAATAGCATTGTAAACATATTTCATTTCATATATATATATTTATTTATTTATTTATTTATTTATCTAGATATATATATATATATATA